CCCCCATTACTGACATCTTTGTCAGCCCCAGAACCCCTTTTGATCCCCCCAGCTTTGAGCAGCCCTGTTTGTGTGGGGCTCCTGGCTTTCTGTCTGTAGGTGAGGTTCCTGTCTCTCCCAGGCCTCAGTTTCCCTAGCTGTAAAATGAAGCAGTTGACCTCATCCAGTGGGTCTCACCCTTTGCTGTGTCATGGACTCCTTTGGAGGCTGCTGAAAGCCTATGGACCATGTTTTAAAATTACATCAATTCTATTGAAATAGTTATCAAAATATTCAAACAAACAAGTTTATCGATCCCAGGTTTGAGGTCCCTCTCAACTCTTTGTTTTCAGTAGAAACATTCTAGGTTTTAAGGCCCTCTGCAGCGTAACATTGTGTTCTAAGGTTTGTTCGAGTGGTAATATTGTGTCCTAAGGGCCTTTAACATTCTGCATTCTAAGGTCTATTAGAGTTGTAACATTCTGTGCTCTGTTGGTCTTACAAGCCCTGATATTCTGTGTGCCTATAGATCTGTGATGGAGAATGAGAATTGTCTGTCTTGTGTGTCTTATCTGTCAGCCTGTCCTGTCTGTCCGTCCATCACCCTGTCTGTCTGTTCATCTGTCTGTCAGCCTGTCTGTCTGTCCACTTGTCTGTCAGCCTATCTGTCTGTCCACCCGTCCATCTGCCTGGCCTCCTATCTGTCTGTCAGCCAGCCTGTGCCTCCCTCACATTCCGAAGCTGCGGCCGACTGCCCCTCCTCCACAGCATTGTTGCCATCACACTCGGGCTCCCCAGGTGCCTCCAGGGTTTAGTTTTTTTTCATATATATGAAAATGAATATTCTGATCCCCGCATGAAATCCCCATGTAGTGTCAGACTCTGCCAGCCTCCCTCCTTCCCCTCACCCCTCTTCTCTAGCTCCCCCCCAACTCCCCTTCGGTTTGGTGTGTGCCTGTGTGGCAGTGATAGCTCTGGGGGATAGATCAAGGCGACTGCATTTCAGGAAAAGAATTATTTCACTCAATTACTCTTACACACGAGCACTAGAGTCGTGGGAGGAGGGGGAGAGCACTCCCAACAGTTGGACAGATTTCCCTTCGTGTGTTGGGAAATCTATCATTTCATACCAACTCCTGCGTGGCAGGTAGAGATAGGCACCTGCTGAGCTGGGGGAGGGCAGGGAAGGCTGATGGGCTAGCAGGATCAGGGCAGAGGAGGCCTCTCTGTGAGCAGGGGGAGGGCAGGGAAGGCTGGTGGGCTGGCAGGATCAGGGCAAAGGAGGCCTCTCTGTGAGCTGGGGGAGGGCAGGGAAGGCTGGTGGGCTGGCAGGATCAGGGCAGAGGAGGCCTCTCTGTGAGCCTAAGTCTGATGGCTTGGCACAACCAGGGCAGAAAAGGCCTCTCTGTGGCTTAGAGGAACCTTGGGGAGACAATTGGAATTTACTTAGAACTCAGAGGAACATTCTCAGAACTGAGATGGACAAATCACTTTGCTTTCTTGGGCTTCATTTTCCTACTCTGCAAAATTAGGGAGGTGGAGCAGATGATCTGAACCCAATTGGTAGACCTGGTCCCAAGTCCTGACTCCAGGGACGGTGCTCTGTCCACTTTACCACCTCACTGCCCCTTTCCTTATCTGTTAAAAAGAAAGGGTGAGATCTGATGATCTCCGGGGTCCCTCTCAGCTCCAAATCCTGGGATCCTGCAAATTAGAAGAAATTGCATAGGGGAAAATACCTGGGACTTTCAATGAACATAAGCTGATGGCTGCCCCAAAAGCCGTTTTCTTAAACACTGGCCCTCTCCTAGTGACTCCGCGTGGCGAGGGATCATGGCACCTCATGATCTCTGGAGAATCAAAATGAGCAATGACCCATGGGGGAGTGGAAGAGCCGTGGGGGTGTATAAGTGGGTATGAGGGAGTGTAAGAAGGTTGGAGGGTATTGACAACGATCACCCGATAGACATCACTGGGGCCCGGCGTGCCTGGGAAATAACGTGGACTGGACGTGGGCAGGAAGCAACAGATGAGTGGCAACCTCTCACCCCTACCTAGTCCAATAGATACTTGTACCAGCGTGGTATCAGAAAGAATGGAAGAAGAGAGGATCCTCTGTGGAGGATCATGGGAAATCATGGCAGACTGGAATCACCCAGATTGGGATGGAGACCCAGATCCTTCCTGTGTGCCTCCGGATACCCTGGAATGTTCCTCCCTCCCTCCGTCAGGGAGTCTCTGGCTTCCTTCCAAGCATGGGTCACTCACTGCCTCCTATAGGAAGACTTTTTTAACTCTCCAGCGCTCAGTCCTCGCAGTTATTTTCTATGATTACTTGGTCTGCATGTCATATTTGCTATCTTAGGTACCTTTTGTCTTCTCTTCTTGCCCCCCTCCCCCCTCAAGCTTCTTGGAAGGAAAGACTACCATTTTTAAAAATCTTCTGTGCCAGGTACTCTGAGCTCGGCTAATAAATGTTGAATTGAAAGAAATTTACAAATGAGGAAGCTGAGGTCCAGGGAGTGTAGTCATCTCAGGTCTCTTGACTTCCATCTCCCCTTTGGGTCGCTAGACTCACATTTTAAATTTAGTTGTGAAGCTCAGGATTTAAAGAAGACCTAATGAATGAAAAAGCCTTTATTATGTGCTTACTATGTATCAGGAACTCTGCTGAACATTGTGGGTACAAGGCCAAAAGCCATCCATTCCTGACCTTAAGGAATTTACATTCTATAAGGGACATATAGAGAAGACTGGGACTGGAGACAGAGACTTTCCTCTTTTGAAAGCTCTAAGTTGAATGGAGAGTTTTTTGTGCATCCACACTGGCAGGTGCTTCTCCCACTCCACCTTTTTTCCCTCATTAGAATTGTATCTTTTGTATCCTCAGCATTTTGTTTTTGAGACCTTCCATCCCTCTTGGATGACTTCCCTCTGTCAGGCCCTGGGACCCAGCTTTTCTCTGAAGTCTTGGCCTTCAGTGCTCCCCCAAACTAGGCTGTGTACCTCACCATTCCCTGCTTTTTCCTTCATGATTGATAGCAGAATCCAAGTTAGAAAGATCACTTCCTCCCTAGGCTTCTGGTTAGAATGGGCAGCCTTTCGGGGCCCTTCCAGCTCTAGGTCTAGGCTTCTATGAATGTGGCAAATTCTCCCTCATACCTTTTATGATGTGAGTTGGGGGGTGGAGGTGGGGCATTCCTAACTATCTAGGTCCAGCCGGCACCAGGCTCTGGAAGGGACTAAAGTCGGGCTTGGGCCTCACCAGAGGTGAGAACCTCACTGTGTGCATTTCTACACCCGAGCGCACACAGGCTGCAGACCCTCCTTTGTTCAGTCCTGGCCTCTTTTCCTCCCTACTAGTGCAGATAATTGAGTGTGAGCTGTGGAAACCGAGTCAGCAGCTGGACCAGGCTTGATTTAGGTCCTCAGTCAAGTCCCCTAGGGCATGATGCTCATCAGACAATAGGCTGGTACAAACCAGGGCATGTGGTAAATGAGAGCTGCTGCATTGGCGTCTGGCACCACCCTGAGAAGAGAGAAAGCGCAAAGAGCCTGCCTGCCCGGTTCTTTTCCTGCTCGATGTTTGGATACCAATCAGTCTCAGCGGCAGCAGGGAGCAGTAGACTCCAGACCACTGACTGGTTCTAGTTCTTCTCAGAGGCAAAAGCTGCCCCCCCAGACCCTCCCCACACCTCTGAGGTTACCATGAGTGTCTGTCAGAGGCCAAACCATTTGGTGAGGGCTGGCCAGGCCCGCTTCACTTGGGCATATTGTGGACTGAGGGCGTCAGACCATATGGTCATGGTGAGAGGCAGAGGGAGCTGGGCTCCAACCCAGACTGCCGTTTCCCATCTGTGTAACTGTGGACAAGTCCCTTCCCTTCTCTTCCTCTCTCAGATGAGGTGATTAGACTGGCCACTAGGAGGAAGGCCCTTTTCTGCTCTTCAGTTCCTATTTCTGCCAGTATTTTTAGGGATTGTGATAGGGACTGGACCCGTGATTCTGTTAGCATAGAGTACTCCCAGATGACGAAACTGTCTTCCAAAGAATGTTGACATCTTCTCTCTGCAACTTGGGGAATTGTCCAGAACACTGAGAGATGGACACACGACCTGGCCAGGGCCCACACTGGGCACTAGCGATTCCATGGTGTTCATTTCTGTGTCCTTGACTCCCTCCTTCTCCCACCCACCCCATTGGACTGTAAGGTATTCCTTCCGATGTCTGAGCAGTTCCTTTTGCTTTGGGGGGTGGGGGCGTTGCAGACCGGGGATTTCACCAGTATAAGGAACTCCCTGTGTGGAAATGCCTTCTACCAATGCCGGTTCATACCTATCTGTAATTTATCGCTTTAGAGAGTTAGGTACCCGGGGCCCTGAGAGGTTAAACTACATATCTACAATGTGTCAAGATGTAACCTAGGTCTTACAGACTTGGAGGCCAGCCCTCTAACCAGTATACATTCTGTCTCTATACTATACACAGTGAGCTATGTTTGCTGTTATTACGGTACCCCTCCCCTTCTCTGTAGCAAACTCTTATGGGCAGCTAGGCCTTGTGGATAAAGCACTGGACCTGGAGTCAGGAAAACCTGAGTTCAAAACTAGCCTTCAACAGATTACTGTGATCCCCGGGGCAGGTCACTTAACTGCCACCCACCTCAGTTTCTTCATCTATAAAATGGGGATAATAATAATAACACCTACCTTTCAGGGTTGTTGTGAGGATGGAATAAATAATCTTTGTAAAGCATTTTGCAAATCTGGAAGCATAATGTAAGTGCTAGCTGTGATGACAGAATGTGATGGGAGTCAGGAGACCTGGGTTTTAGTCCTGGCTGAGCTATGAACCATCTGTGTGACCCTGGAGTGGTCATTTTCCACTCTAAGCTTTCGTTTCTTTATCTTTAGTATGGTTGTGGCTGGTCTGGTCTAGGTGATATCTGAGGCCCTTTTCCAGCAGCCAGACCCCATTCTACCCTCTGTCCTCACTCTCTTTCTTTCCGTCTTTCCCTGCAGGATGGTAGAATATTCTCTGGACCTTCAGAACATCAACCTGTCGGCCATCCGCACAGTCAGAGTCCTGAGGCCCCTCAAAGCCATCAATCGAGTGCCCAGTAAGTCACCCCCAGGCCGACTCAGCTCTGATGGAGCGATGGGGAGGAATTGACCCCTCCCAGTTTGCAGTGTAGTAAACGCATATTCCGCGCTATGTAGACACAGGCAGTTTACCAGCCTACTTAGTGCTGTTGGCACTGCTGCTGGGCTGGGTCCCTCCAGTGACGTGGATGAATGGTCTCTGGAGACGGCTGGTCTGTCACTGAACGTCACAGCTGGAAGGGACCAACCCCAAAAGACTTCAGGAGAAACAAACTTTTTAAAGCATCACCTCTGTGTGTAGGATAACATTAAGAGTGTTAACTGCAACATTGTAGGATGATGTTAATGTAGGACAGTCTTAAAATTTAGAGTTGGAAGAGATTTCTGAGGTCAAACCTCGTTTTACAGAAGAGGAAACTGAGGCTCTGGCTGAGGAACAAAGGTAGTAGAAGTCTGGCTGTGAAGGGGGAACCTGGACTGGGAGGAGGAGGCGTGCCATTCTTCCTTCGGGAGTGCAAGACACCCCACTACCCCCTCCTCCTCGCTGCCTGAAATTCAGAGGTGGCTTTCGTGGAGGTGAGAAGTGGCAAGGGCCGGTCAGGGCTCAGCTGGGAAGAGCCACTGATTCTCAGGGACAGGGGACACTTCGAGGTCATTTCATCCACTTTCCTCCTGCCCTTCCCTTACCATGCAGATGGACGCTTGAGGCCTAGAAAGGGCGTGTCAGTTGCCTAAGGCCACACGGCTGTGATTGGTCACTTCTACAATGAAGCATCCAGGCTCAGGAGGTGCCAGTTTGGTCCTGGAAGGGATGAGCAGGAGAGCATTCCTGGGCCTGGGAGTGGGGAGACAGCCCCCAGAGGGGTAGAGATGCACGTGATGCCAGCCTGGCTGGACCAGAGAGGGCGTGGAGGGGAGTAACGTGGGTTAGAGTGTGTGCAGCCCCATTCCTCCTGATACGTACGTGACAAGCCCAGAAAGCAGGCTTGGAGCCAGCTCGTGAAAGGCTTTAAATACCAAAGAAAGGGTTTGTATTTGCTCATAGAAGCAATAGTCATATGGTTAGGGCTGTGCTGTAGGACTGTATCACCTTGGCGGCTGGGGGAGGATAGATCAGAGATGCAGAGAGCTGGGGAGGGAGACAGAGAGGAGGCAGCTGGCGTAGGCTGGGTGAGAGCCGAGGAGCGCCCAGACCAGGAGTGCAGAGAAGGGGACAGACCTCCGGGTGGACGCCCGCCGGCCCTCCTGGGCTGTGGCTCGGCAGGGTGCTGCGTTCTGGGACAACGGCAGCAAGTGGATGTTATTTCACAAAACACAGAGAAGAGCTCTCCCCAAGCCACGAAGACCCGTGTTAGGTGTGGGGAGCCAGAGGGAAAACCCAAACCACCCTGGGTCACGAGGGCTTATGATGATAAAGCCTGTGGAGGGGACAAGGGGACAGCCTAGACAGAAGGTTGAGGAGAGAACTCAGTATCGGCTCGGAGGATCAAGGAAGGCTTCATGGCTGAGGCGGCCCTCGAGTTGGGCCTTAAAGGATGAAAAAGATGGAGATGTGGAGGGAATGTGTTTGGTTAGTCTAAGTCGTCATGTCTGACTCTCTGTGACCCCACTGGGGGTTTTCCTGGCAGAGATACTGGAGTGGTTTGCCATTTCCTTCACCAGCTCATTTTGCAGATAAGGAAACTGAGGCAAACAGGGTAAAGTGTCTTGCCCAGGGTCACACAGCTACTAAGTGTCTGAGGCTGGATTTGAACTCAGTGTGTTCTAGACATTTGAAAAGGTGCAAAAGGGCAGGACGATATCTGCTGGGGTCACTTTGGTTGGAGTACGGAGTATGTGGAGGAGGGTCATGGCTATAAAAGTAGGTGGGTTCAAATCCCTCTTCTGATGCTTACTGTCTGTGCCCCTGGGCAAGTCCCCTCCGTGAGCTTCAGTTTCCTCCCCTGTCAAAGGAGGGGGTGTGATACAATGAGATGGTCACTTGCTGTGGGCTCAGAGGACCCAGGTTCACAGGCTGTCTCTGAGGTTTTCATCCTCCTCCTTCACCTACTTATGATGAAGGCATGACAGACGGGGCTCGCCTATGCCTGTTTACCAAGGATGCCTCCTTCCTGTTGGTGTTGGGGGTACGTGGGGCCCGTGTCCCCTGGACTCATAACCTCTCCCCCAGATTCCTGGCCAGAGGCAGACCCGGCTGGCAGACCTTACTTGCTCTGCAGCAGAATCAAGCTTTCCAGGAAGAGCCACAGGCATTCTGGGGACCCTGAGAGTAGGGTTGGGGGGCAGTCTGAGAGGGCCCAGGATGGGGGCAGGGACTGGAAACCACACATAGACACAGGCACTCGTGGACACACACAGAGGGAGTGCTGAATGTGGACGGAGCAGGGCAGGCCCTTCGGGATGCACGGACACACAGAGAGCACAGGAATCCAGACACGGTGGCAAGAGCCCTGGGTCCAACGTCAGAGACGTGGGGCCGGATCCTCCATCCTGCACTGTCAGGCTGTGTGACCTCACCTGTCTGAGCCTTAGTTTCTCCATCCATTAAATGGGAACAGAATAATCCTCGTACTCTCTACCTTAAAGGGTTGTTATGGGGAAAATAAGCCTGAAGGTGTTATAGAAATGGGGTGGATATATGAAGACAGACTCAGCTGGCAGAAATGAGGGTGGCAGAGACTGCAGGGCAGAGAAATACGGATGCGCTCGAATGCCAGCACCCCCACGTCCTCGCCCCTGCTGAGCCCCAGATTGTTACCGTTTGGAGGAGAGGCTTCATTCTTCCATTCTTTGTGGCTCACCCTGCTAGCCTCGGGCCTGGGGGTGTGATGGCTGCTCAGAAGTGCCCATCAAACCAGAAGCAGGGGGTTTAGTCAGAGGAGCCTGGGCCGAGCTACATGAGCGTGGGGTGAATGGGGTACCAATGGCAGGGCCTTCCTCTCAGCCGTGACTGTGGCCCTGGACCAGGCTTGGGCACCTAACTGCCCAGGGTGGTCTTATTGCTGAATCCTTCTGCCAGGCTGCATCCTCCCTCAACCCCTGCGGAGGTGAGGACGAGATTCATAGGCCTGTGGCAAAGGAGGAAACTGAGGCAGCCTGGGAGGGGAAGGAACTCATCCAAGGTCACATGGGTTGTGTCAGAGGCAGGATTCGAACCCAGACCTGCTGAGTCCAGTCAGGACAACATGAGTATTCTGGTCCCCAGGTGAAAAGACTTCCCGCTACCTCTCTGCTGCGGAATGCTGGGTTCTGGCTCTCGCTGTGTGACCTTGGCTGAGTCACCTCCCTTCCTCTGGCCTCAGTTTCCTCCTCTGTCGACGAGGGCATCGGACTTGATTGTTCTGGTCCCGCCGCCGAGCTCCGGACTTCTGGGCCTTAGTGGCTGCCAGGAATCCCTCTGGCTGCTGATCCAGCCACTTAAGTACGAAAGGCAGCTGGGGGCTCTTCGATAAGAAAGCAGGACATTTGTCGCAAGAGGCCCGAGGCAGAGTAATCCATCTCCCTCTCCCAGCCTGTTCTTCCTAAACTCCTTCTCCCCGGAATGGCTCCCACTCCAAAAGCCCTGGGGGAGGCCAGAGGGCAACCCAAGGCAGTGGGGGAGGTCACCAGATACCACTGTGAGAGGGCCTCCCATCCTCCGTTTCATCAGAGCAAAGGTTGTCCAGGCTCGGAGGGACATGTGAACATAAAATATTGGGCTGTAGAATGTCAGAGCTAGGAGGGAATTTAGCGCAGAGAATGTCAAAGGTGGGAGGGATCTGAGAACAGGGAATGTCAGAGCTGGGAGGGGCCTCAGAACAGGGACTGTCAGAGCTGGGAGGGGCCTCAGAACAGAGAACGTCAGAGCTGGGAGGGGCCTTAGAATAGGAGATGTCAGAGCTGGGAGGGGCCTCAGAACAGGGAATGTCAAAGCTGGGGGAGGCCCTTAGAACAAAGAATGTCAGAGCTTGAAGGGGCTATAGAGCAGG